GAATTATCAATTACGAATTATGAATTACGATAATAACGGACTCAATGATTGAATACTGTTGGATTAAATTAAGATATGAATTAATTTGTATTGAATTAAATTGAAACTTGTTTCGTAACTGGAAAAAAAAAGCAAAAGACGATAAAAGCGAAAATTCCAATAGAAATTTATTTAAATTTACAAATCTTTAATTGAGCAAATTTTTTTGCTTAATTTTTCTTAATTAGTTTTATAATTCTTCTGGCAATAGTTCATTTACTTATATATGAAATGAATAATTTAATTATTGTTTAGGAATATTTTCGATATTTTTCTTTCTCAAATTTTAATATTAAAATTCAGCGATTAATAAATGAAGCATAAAATATGATTGGATTTTTTTTCTTCTTTGATATTTACTAATATTATTTATTAGTAATTTGATAATTTGATAAAATGTATTTGCTGATTTTTGGTTTTAATCAATTTATAATTTGCTATTTTAGCAAATTATAACTTAATTTATTTTCTAAAAATTAATTCCTGCCACTATAATTGTCGCTTTTTTTTTCTCTCTCTACTAATTTAATACCATTTGTAATAATAGCACTATATTTGGTTATGAAATCAATACATGTATTGGATAATTATTAAATAGATTTTCATTTTTATGACAAGATAGCGATAATGATAATAATCATAATAATAATAATATTAATTAATACTGAAATATCACTGATAAGATAACGCAGAAAAAATTGTAATCGATGAACAGTAATTTGTGATAATTTTGATCAAAAATGGATGACTTTCAATTCGTTCCATTATTGATAACAAAAATTGAAAAAAAAAAATATTAGCAAAAAAAAAATTGTAAATTATATTTATAATAAAACTGATAATTCAAATTAATTCAATGATTAAATATAAATGATCCATTATCGCTTATAATTTTACATTATAAAAGAGCCATACTTTTTTTCTCTTTAAAAAAGCCTAATTTTTTCTAATTAATTTTTTTTGAATCTAATTTAGAATTTTTTTAGCTCGATTTTTTCCTAAATTTTCTAATTTTTTTAATTTTCTTCCGTGCTTAATTCTTTAAACTGAAGAATTATTTAAATAGAAATGATATCAGAATTTGCTAACCAAACTTTTCGTTTTTTTTTTGTTAGTTTATATAACTGCTATGAATTATGTAATGTTGTAATTGTTTTTCTTTTTTTTGCAGGAATGGATTTTTAAGATTGTGATTATTTTAACAATTCAGATAAACTAAATTTACATTTTATTACAGTAGAAAAATACAGTAAGCACAAATATAGGAGGTGCAATTGTTTGTTGAAACGATAGGAATTATCATATTAGCGATTAGCATTTAACATTTCCGTTAAATTGAAATTAAATTGTTTGGAAGAATTGAAATTGCTGTATAAAAAGTTAATTTGATATGATGGAACAGTGGAAAGCGCAAAATTGTTCAATGTTTTAGCAGTGATGGTTTTAAATGGACATTATAAGCTAATTAAGCTAATTAATTTTTTCTCTACTGGTGACAATTTCAATTTTAGCTTACTCATCCTACGCATGTGAAAATAAAAAAAAAAAAAAGAAGCTTACTGGGCTAAGAATAAAATAACAATTTGATTTGAATGAATAATCATTTCTCTCATTTTATTTTATCCTAAACTGTAAAACTAAGGCAACACAAATGTATAAGTATTTGTATTTAAAGTTTTATCTCTTCGTTATTTTTTATTTTGTAAATTATTTTGTAAAATTTGTTTTAAAAAAAATTTAAATTAAACTGGAAATATTTGAATAATGTAATACTTTCGTGTAACATTGTATTAACTATTAAACATTATTTATATTAATAGGAAATAAATTGCAAATCATTAATGACAATACTACAAATTTTATTATATAATTTTTATCAAATTTAATGATAATAATATCAATATGATTATTTTCAAATCATATTCAGGTAGTTAATTTAGTAAATTAAATGTGGAATTTGTTGATTTCAAATATCTAATTTGATGATTTAAATACTTCTCACTTCAATAACTCAAGTACCTAATTTAACGTTCTAACAATGCAAATAATTTGTTTATTGATTTAAATTGTTATTCATATATTTCGAAAATTTAACTTTCTGTTGAAAATTTCATTTTAATTTTTATCAGGTTTAATGATAATAATAACATTAATGTGATGATCACTAATAGATTATATTCAGGTATTTAATTAAATGATTTAAATGCCTAATTTATTGACTCGAATTTAATGATTCAAATAATTCTTAATCCAAAATAATTCATATACTTAATTCACAATGATCCAATTATCTGAATCAAATGAATATAAAATGCTTGATTTTGATGATTGAAATTATTGAACGTTCAAATTTTTGCATATGTTGTGGGCAAATCTAAATCTTTATATATTCACAAAATGTCAATATCTATTCAATTTAATTAATTTTTTTTTTTTTTTTTTTGTCAAATGCATCAAAAAATTCTATTTACAAAAAAAAGAAATAGTAAAATTTTAATTTCACATTAAGCTTCATTTTCTTCCTCTTTCCCACCTTCTGGGCATTTTCCCCGCCTTTTATTAATTAATTATGGATGTATAAGTAAGAGGAATACATTACAAACAATGCATTATCACTCTCATATTACTTACGACTTCGCATTTTTCGTTTTTTTTTTTTCACTCTCTTTTAAAATTCATATATTTTTAATGATTTGTTGAATTTATGAGATTTTAAAACTAAGACAACTTCTGATGATATAATTTTTTCAAGTATTTCTTTTTCATTTTCCATAATTCATCCCAGAATGCTTCTTCATTTATTTTTATATTTTCCATTTTTTTCTAAAGCAAAAAAAAAAAAAAACAAAAAAATAATGGTCAAATATTAAATTTTACGGTTTTTTTTTAAAAAAAATTTCCGAATCTTTTGTATATATCAAACTTTTGCGTAAAAACTTTTTTGATTTTGATTAGTTATTAAAAAGAAAAAGTTTTTCTCTTTTCTTTTTTTTTTTTTTAAATAATTAATTACAAATAATTGTGCATGAAAGTATTTGTTTACCCTTTTTTTTTTTTTTATTGCGCTAAATTTTTCTAATTATATTTACCAAATAAATAAAATAAATATTTAATTTCGTTGTATTAATGAAGGAAAGAAGAAGAAAAAAGAAAAATGCTTAATATAATCATTATTAGTATTAAGGAATTTATCAAATGCTTCTTTAAACGATTTCATATTTTGATTTGCTTTTTTTTTAATTTTAGAAATTTATTTTGGCTATTCTGTCCATTTTTTACCATTCTTGTTTGAGTTATTCTGTCCACTTCTATTACCTTCGTTGGGGCTATTCTGTCCATTTTTTTTACCCTTTACCTTATTGTTGACATCAGATGAATTGATTGAGCCTTAAATGAACTTTTGTTTTAAAATAATTTTTGAAAATTTGATGAGAAAAATTAAAATTTTGTTAAAAATTATTAACATCAAATTTTCCATTCCACAACTTTACATTATAAGTAAACGTTGTAAAATTATTAGTTTACTTCTAATCCCATAATTATTAATTATAAAAAAAATCATACTTTTGCATTATTTTGAACAAAATTTTTTCACAAAACACATTCTTTTGTATTTTTTGCTGTTATCAGTTTATTGATCAACATATTATCAGTTTATCGATCAACTTATCATTGTCATTTCATGAACTAAACAAATAATCCATTTGCTTGCATAAAAGCGATTTCTTTTAATAGTGTCAAAAAAAAATGTGATAATTTAAAAAATATTATGAACAAACAATTTATCAGTTAAAACAAAAAGGGGGAATTCGAGGTATTGTTTAATTTTTTTTTTTTTTGAAACTCTTCAAAATTTCGATAATATGTAAATTGTCTATATGCAAATTTCCCTCATTTATAGCAATATTAACTATAATGTTGATTAATAAATATTATTATCAGAAGCGTATTTTAATGTAATCAGCAATTTTAGTGTGTTATCAAAATGATATTGTGATAAGCGACTATTAGTTAGAATATTATTGTAAGACAAAAACTTAAATTTAAAAATTTATAATTTCTTTTTCTTTTTCTTTTTTTTTTGTTGCAAGCATTAATGCAAATGGCCTAACTTTAAGAATATAATTTAGGAAATTCATTCCTTATCCAAGAGAAATTCATATCGTCCAGCAATTTAATTCTTATCTGATAAAAAATCCAAATCATTTGGAAATATTCATTCTGATCTGATAAAAATCCATATCATTTAGAACACCATCCTTAGATATCATCCAAAAAAAAGTCATTTTCAGATGTCATTTCGAAACATTCGAAACTTATATCATTAAGAAAATTTTCATTCTTGAATATTCATTGGAAAATTTTGCTTCCGGATATCATTGAGGAAATTCATTATTAAGCATTCTTTGATAAAATAGTGATAATGGGTATGGATTAAAGTTAATCCTCTTGTTAAAGATAATTAAAAGTGAAACAAATTAATTGCAAAATTTGTTATTAAGATATTCATATGCGCAACTGTCATCTTCTTGTCCTTTCTTTTTCTCATTTGGTTATCTTCAGTAATTAATCCAGGCAAATTAATTCTGCCGAAAAGAAGAATGATTACTTGTTACTATGTATTGGTTTAAACAATTGTTATTAACATATTAGTTCCATATTTGACTCAAATCATTTATTATTTTATATTAAAATTGCGATTAAATAAAATACTAACTTTGCAAATAATAATTTGAACATTAGTATTCAATTTATGAAATTTTTAATGTTCAGAATTTTTCGTAATTAAATAATTACAAGAAATGATAATGCATGAAATGGTTCAATTCATTTTTACCTTTTTTTTCTTCTAAAACGATATAAAAATTTCTTCTATTGCTCATATATATTTTAATTAATTAATAAATTTTATGCTCCGTTTATTTTTTTTTTAGATTCAATTTTTTCAATAATTTTTTTTTTTTCAGGTGAGAGGGGTAATATTACAATGGAAACTATAATAGTTCTTATAGTTGTCTCATCAGTTGCTGCTATTGTTCAATCAGAATATTATGGTAATATAATTTTCCATTTAAAGAAAAAGAGAAGCTATTTAGAAAAATAAGAAGAAAACAAAGTTTAAAAGAATATTTGATAAAATTAAAGTGAAATTTAAAGCTAAAATTTGTAAAGAACTCATTGTAATGAGTATCAGTAAATTATCATAAATGCATTAACAAATTATATTTTTGTATTTGTCGAATTACATTCTAATTAAGTCATTAATTATTGTGATAAAATTTACATTAGCAAAAAATTATTTTGAATTATTAAGTAGGATGAAAATGGAATGTTTGATGCTAGCTCCTTTATCGCAGCTATATAATATGAATTAATTTAGACTAATTCGAATCTTTGTACTAAAATTTAAATTATTCGATCAAAGTATATCCTTTTAATTTAGTTTGAATCAATATACATTGGATAAGAATGTAAATCATTTCAAATTATTATAAGTCTTTCTTTTTTTAAAAAAAAACTACATCAAATTAATTTTTTCTTAAAATTAAATTGCTAAAAATTTTAATTATTAATATCTAATTTTATAGCTAATTACAACGATCGATTGGCACGAGATTTTATGCATTTTGGAAAACGTTCAGCAAATTTAGTACCGCAGTTCGATCCATATATTGCTTATTTTAAAAGAGGCGAGGTGATAAAAAAGTTTTTTATCTATGAATTCTTTTTTTTTAGACACTTTTTTCTATTCATTCTGTTTTGAAGTTTTAATTTGTTTAATTAAAAAAAATACGTCTAATAAAGTATTGTTGAAAACTAAACAAATTTATTATTTAATGCAATTTGCCATTTTAAAATGTTAACTGATGTTAATTTCGGAATAATTTCAGAATTGAAATTAAAATAAAAGCGCTTTAGATGATATGAATTGTTAACAGTGATTTAAAAATAACAATAGTATGTTTAAACTTTAAAAAAAAAGAAAATTGATAGAATTTTTTGATGAAAAATGCGTAATTTCTCCATCAATGGATAGCTTTTCGTTTAAAATATGTGGTAATGAAATATTTTAATTTATTATAATTCATTTAGTTTTCGAGAGATTTCATGAATTTTGGAAAACGTTCAACTGGTGATGGCAATTTGTCTGATATGATGCTAAAAATTGGTCACACTCCAGAATTACTTCACAAGAAAAGCAACAGTTTTGACAGGGAATTTATGAATTTCGGTAAACGGATGATGCCACTTGAACGGAGTCTAATGACTTCAAATAAAAAAGGCGGCATTGATGCATTCAATCGCGAGTTTCTCAGTTTCGGTAAAAGGTTAGCAAATATATATATATATATATATATATATATATATATATATATATATATATATATATATATATATATATATATATATA